GTTTTTAACCCAAGGCTCTGGACATGGCAGCGCGAGCACATTATATATATTTTTTTTGTTGGGGGTAAGAAGATGATTTCAGGATGGTAGAAAGAGTAAAAAAAAAAAAAAGGACATTTGATGTACAAAAGCAGATCATTATCTCGTCTTTCTGTCCGGGCCAAACTTTAATCTGTGATGATTTAATCAGATTAATTAAAATGTATTCCAACATATGCAGTTAGTTTCCCAGACAATAGGTGAACGCAGGCATTTTTCAGCTAATCTACATTTCATTTTGTTTTGTTTGATTTTTTTTTTATCTACGAATGGGCTTAATGCACGTCTGAGGAAGCGGCCTGTTGGGTCAGAGTTCACCTGCAATGTTCATCCTGCACGCTGGCAGACTTTTTGAAAGTTAGGATTTAATATGTTTATCATACCGCATTCCTGAAGGGCTCCTTTTCTGCAGAAACGCCTGCTTATTGATCATTATTATTATTTAAATTACAAAGAGCTGAAATGATGAACTGAGTGAGAATTAATCTGCAGCAACTGATTGATACTGTTTAAAGCCAAACTGGCATAAATTCACTCTGGGAAAAATGTGCATATTTCACATTATAAAATCATTGTGTACATTTTTCCAGCTTGGTAAATAACAGATATCCAGAAAAATCTGAAAATAAAGTATTATTTTATATGCTAACTGTAAAAACACAGGTCTAAACTGTACGTAACATCCACATACCCAAAATTAGAATTTTAAATTGTTCTTTTACATCATTTCACCTTGATAGTACCCGCTGTGAATAAATCAGCAAGAAATATTCTTATTTTCAGACATTTGCTGCAATATAAAATAAAATTAGGTATATTAAGGATTGAAAATGAGGGTTTTTTGGTTTCCAAATGTGAAAATTTGATGCTTTTCTTTGTATACTCTGTCAATTCTGAATGTTTTGAGCTGCTGGTCACATTCGTTGCTTTATTTTTAATATTTGCTGATTTTCTTGAGGGCAAACGAGCGGATCAATTGCAAAAAAAAAAAAAGCTCACAAATTAATGAATATTGACAATAATCCTTAACCTGAGCTCTAAACTCCTGACAGAGTAACCAAACTGAATATTTCAAACACATCCTCGTTGAGCCAAATAACACGAGGCAGGTCCAATTCAAAATGCTAAACGAAGAGTCCGTCACTTCAGCCTGATATTAAACAGTTGAGGATCTTTCTCTCGGCTTCACACTCAAATGGACAAGACGCATTACATATTCTACATACTCAAGATGTTCTGGGGGGGAGAGGGAGGAAAAAAAAAAAAAGAACACCATAAAAACCTGTTTATACAACATAATTTGCAAATGTCCATGTACTCTGGAGGTTGATGAATGTGAGAAGAGCATAGCTGGAGGAAGGTGTGGGATGCAGAGGAGAAACTGCTACTGCTTCAGTTTCTGAGCACTCCTGAGAACGCAGCATTACTAAATCCTGCACTCATAAAACCAAATTCATCACCGTGAGGCACGAAAATAACGATACACTCGCAGCTTATGGCAGGGCATGAATATAAATGTTATCCTCCACAACATGTACAACCTTGACTAAATAAAACGATCCTGATCCTATAGGTCCCTGTGTGTGCATTGTGTTTGTGTGTGCATTGTGTTTGTGTGTGCGTCGACTCCTACTCGTTCTCACACTCCGCTCTGTGTTGTCTGTTGGGTTGTTTCCCCCAGAGACCTCCACTCCTGCTGCTGCTGCTGCCGCCGCCGCCGCCGCTGCTGTTGTATCCCCCGCTCGATGTGTCCCACATTCCCTTCCCTGCCACACTAATTGTTTTTTGTAATTATTTTCACCCCGTATTGTGACAGGCAGCGGCTGCACCACTCTTAACACATTAGTGCACGGGACGCGACGCACGGAGACGTCTCGAGCTGCACCAGAAAACACAAGCCGATGTGCAGGAAAACGTGAACGATATCACTAATTAAGTTTATCGTGACGCCGAGCGGTCGTACAAGCAAAACTGCCAAGTGTCATCTGGTTCCACCAACATTAGTCTTATATGACATTAAATACAGCATAACTCAGGATTTAGAACCTGCAGACGTCATCTTAGGCTGCAGGAAATTTTAACGGACATTTTTATGAGCGACAGAATTCATAGATTTATGCAAACCCTTAAAAAAAATCTGCATACATGCATCACCAGGGTTTGCTATGAACCTCATTACTTCTTGAAAAACCGGTACCGAAGCACTGGATGTTTCCTGAGCAGAACACTTTTCTGACACTGATGCATTAACATTAACATATTTTCTTCTGAGGACAGTAGATTTTAAAGCCCCTTTCAAGGTCAATTTGTGAGCTGTGATTTTATATAAATAAAGCTGACTTCACTTTGTTAATCCTCTGAACTCTAAACTCTGCCGGCGGGTTGGAAAGTTGTGTTGTCTTTACAAAATTGCCAAATTCACACCATTAATCAGACACAGAAATTATAAAAAACACAAAATCCGTCAGATTTTGAATTATCCGTCTGAAACTACTTGATGCTAAGCACCATTTGGTCATGAAAATACCAAAATATAGGTTAAAATTGTAACTTTTTCTGTTTTATTTTTTTTTAAAGCCCAAAATAATCCCGATCCAGATCCAGATTTTGCAAAAAACAAAAAAATTCTACATTTATCGACGCAACCGTGAAGCCGTTCGTGACTTTAGCTGTGACCGACAGTGACGTGTTAAAAATCCAGGAGCTATTCGGCTGAACTGCAGGATGTGTTTACGCAGGGCAGATAGGAGACATGTGGGGAAACAAGACAAGAATCAAAGAGATTAAATACATCTGACCTTATCAATGTTTCTGATTTCTGTTCTCCCTCCTTCTTCATGGTTGTGCTGTTTCTATTCAGCTTCATATTGCAGTGAAAAATGAGGCCACAGTGAAGAAAAAGGAGCAGAACACACTCAGAAACTACTTGGAGTTTTGAGATTGAACGAAAAGTGACTTTTAAACCAATGGCCCCTGTACCAAGATATCTATTTTTTTGTTTGTTTCAACCTAAAGTAAAAACCTGAACTTGCTAGCATCAAAGAGTAGAGCACCACAGATTGCAAAAAATGAGCTCAGCATAAAGAAACAAGCAGACAAACAGATCAATAAGCTGCCAGCTACGTCTTCCTGCCCGCAAATCTCAGCTTAACTAAGTCGTGAAGAAACACTCGGCTCCTCGACGTGATTTGCTTGATGAAGTCTGAAGGTCACACACCGAGTGTTTTGACGACAGAGGACCTGTGCAGGACGGAGCTGCAGGTGTCGTGGTGAAACCTCAGAGGGAGAAACTTCAGTCAGGCTTCACAACAAGCTGACAAATGCACCCGTTCTGTCAAAACGGGTCTGCTGCTTTAACTGAGACGACTCGAGCTGATAAGGACACAAACACATGGACCATTTCAGCAGGGACTTGATTCCCACCTGAGCTTCGCGGTGAGAGCGGCTCTCCGAAGCGTCACGGCGGTGTCATGTCACCAGCACCAGCAAAGACTCAATTAGAAGGCTTTAATTTTCTGTTTTTACATGAACCCTAAGCAGAAACTAAAACACACTTTTAAATTGGATGAGTAAACCCACCACATATGGCCACTCTTACTTGGACTTACTGGAATTAGCCGGTGATTTTATCATTTGTTCCCTACAGCAAAATGAGATTGCAAATGCTGGCGGAGGGATGTAATTAATTTAAAAAGAGAAATTAAAATATTTATAGGTATGTTCACTCATTACTCCAGGATGAATATGCTTAATTTTAAGGGTGACCATTGGTACATGGGATTAATTAGCTGCTGTTTTGTTAACTGAGAAAATATACAAAGATACTGGTGTTGAAAGACTTTGCAGCTGAGGTGGGAAAAAAAAAACAACACAGGTAGAAGGATGTTGGAATAAAATATGGAGCAGTCGGAGAATTTATGGACAAGAAACTGCTTGAGTAACAGCAAAATAATAACCTCTATATTACTTTTCTGGCTGCCTACGTTTTTTTAAATCTGTATCAACGTGTTGATTTCTTGTCTTCCTCCCTTCAATTGTAAAAACTATTTAGGCTTACAGACTTTCTAAATGATCAACTATTTACAGTCACGGTAAAAAATTGTAGAGATTCTCGTGCTGTCAATCAAATATATGTTGCTATAATTAGAGTACACTGGATTTACACTGTGAGGACCAAAAATGAAGGAAGATTTATAAAAGCTAACCAACAAAAAGATCATTTCTCGATGCTAAAGTATGTATGAGGATTAGACAAAAAACTGCTCCTAACCTCAAACAGTTATTTCGGTTATGATTATAGTCCATTTTCTGAGGGCAGGAGAAAACGACAAAATAAAGGTTATAGTGACTGCTTTATGGGAAGCTTGTGGCTCTTACAGTAATAAAACTCAGATATGACCAGCGCCGACAGGGACAAATGAGTTCAAGAACAATTTAAAAATACAAACAAAGGCAATAAAGAGGAGTAATTTCTAATGGATGTGGTCAAATATTACAACACAATAAAGTTTATAAAGAAGATGCTTGGTCTATGCAAACCTGTGCTTTTTAAAGGATCTCTTCAAAGGATTACTCCAAAGTGATGTTTTATCTTTGCATCCTGACGCTTTTTGTGGGAATAGAACAAAAAAATAACTCCATGCTGGAGGCTCTGATGTTTGTAAATGTGTTAAAAGAGAAGTGCCTTTGTCGACTCGTACAACAGTCAAACTATTAAACCTCTGTTAACTGCACTGCGTCTATATATTGTATGAAGGTGTTCTTGTTTTTGAAAAACCACAGAGGACAGCCTTTACTGTGCACACAAAGCTGCAAAAAAAAGCTGTTTTTAGGAAATACTTCAGGATTTTACTCCTGGTAAAAATCACAGATACATCTCAGATTTAAAAAGACAAGATACTGCATTGTACTGATTCTGTTTCAGGCTATTTTCCGTTCAGTAAAAAGATCATATCATGAATGGATTCTAAGTGTTATGTATCAGATACTTACTCTGCTCCGCAGGTAGTCTGCCAGGTTCTTTCGTGTGAAGTTCGCTGCTGCTGCAGGACTGAGTTCGTAACCTAAGAAACGGGAAGAAGAAAATATCATCAGGGGCAAAGTTTTGAATTTATGCTTCTTTATTTAGTGAATTTTACAACCGTGAGACATTTTGGGCAGTAACTGGAAACCTCTGAAGAAAAGAAGGATAAGAGCGCCACTGGGCCTGGGCGATAAAACGATAGTGACATTAAGTGTTGATAGACACATCAGCAGCAGCAATAAGAGAACCGTCTGATTTGTTATTTTACTTGAATGCATGAGATTCAAGCTGATATCGAAGCAAAGTTGCATGAACAGATTCCAGTGGTGCTCCCTCCCTAAGCTCACAACAGCCTGTCAAACAAAGAGAGTGTTTCTTTATCCTGATTTAGTTTTTATTCATGTGTGTAAATTTATGTATTTGTGTGTGTGTTTTTCATTGTTGTGTTGATATTATTACCCGTTTACCTTGATAAATAGGCTAAAGTAGCTACATTCAAATCAAACAGTTTTCCTATTGATTATAATTTGAAAAAGGCGATTCAAATTTCACAATAATTATCTATCTCAACTGAAATTAAACATTTTATCATAGGTTTTTAGCTATGTTATCCAGCCTTAACTCCCTCACGTCTCTGAGGTTCTTACCGTTCCTCATTTTGTAGAGCTGAACGTTCTTCTGGATGTACTCTGCAAACTGCACCGTGTCTCCCGCTTCTCCAACACACAGCAGCAAGATCTTCTCGCTCAGCTTGAACATCTTGTCATAGTCTGAAAGACAAAGAACAAATATTCATCAGCAACACTGAGTGCTTAAATTATTACTGGACAAAAACAGAAACTCAGCATGTAAAATTTTGTTAAATTAATTGTTTGTCACCGGGAAATAAATACTTGTTATTCCAATACAACAGAACAGAGACCACAAAGCAACCACATATATTGGAAATGACAACCAGAAATGATAAGTTATGATGAGTCACATCTACAACACGGTGAGTTAATGAGGTTGTTGATGGTGGATTTGCGGATATTCAGGCTACAGCTCTGACATTGCAGTAGCATGAGCTCACCTTTCTCTTATCATGCTATCTGGTAATTGTCTTTTAAAGCCATTCCTGACTAAGGTGCAGATTAACTCAATGTCTAGAACTTGTCACCAGTTGAACAGATCACAAACTTTCAGTGCGCAGTGAGTTAAATCAGACCCCTTTCTAACCAGAACAGATATGACACTTTAAAATAACCTCTTCTTTAAGTCAGGAACGAACACCATTAGCAGGCTGCATTTGATTTAAGTGTCCATTTACTGATTTCCAGAGTTAGCAACGTCACTCAGAAATGACTTTCACTTTCACTGTGGGCAGTCTGCTTAGTCAGTTCGTGCTAACTTTAATTGTCAAAGTAATGTAGACTCGATTTGATTAAGTCAGAGAAAGCTAATGGCAATGATAATTCAACGTCACATGTTGTTACTGATTCTGGAAACTGTGCAAATTAAAGAGAGAAAGATTTATTTGCTGCTTCATCTCATGCTAGCTACTGTTAGCATTGCTAGCTCGCGTTACGTTCACATTGTGTGGTTACAGCTGGTTAACAAGGAAACTTCAATAATACACGTCAGTATATTTTAAGAAGTAAAGTCCACAAGCACTATTTATAAGTATGCTAATTTAATTTAACAAAGAAGTCAGAAAACATGCTACCGGTTTTAGCTAAAGAACAGCTAATATTAAGCTAACGCGTTGTCATACCGTGTTTCATCTGAATGATGCTGGAAGCTGCAACATTATCGGCGGCGACGAGGACAAAATCCCGTCCCTGTAGTCCGATTAAATATTCCATTGTGTACAACACGTATAAACTGAAATAGTAATAAAAAGTACTCCGAAGCGACAGACGTGTGTTAGCCTCGCCTGTACGGATTACACAGCAAAAGTTTGAGCTGTCTGTCGCACGCTGCCGACGTCACCAGGAAACAGCGTGTCGTGTTTTCTGCGCGACTCGGGCGGGCAATTTGAACGGACCGCCGCTGCTGCTGTTGTGGAACTTGTGTTCACGTTCTGCCGCGTCGATCGTGAAGAAAAGCAAAAGAGAGATTTATTGTTTCATCGGAAAAAGTTCCAAATGAAGGAAGGGACGCCTCGAACCGTGATGGCGGAGTCGAACAACCTGGACGGCTCGCAGAGAAGGCGGTCAGCGCGGTTGAACTCTCCTCCGCAGACTGAGGCTAAAAGTGACAACAAAATGGCGGTGGCTGTGAAACGCTCCATCACTGTGAGGAAAATAGCGCCCAGGAAAACCGTCGCACCGTCGGAGAACGACAAGGAGAACTCCCCGAGGCGGCGGCGGTCGGCCTCGGTGGGCGTCCAGCAGCAGCAGCAGCAGCAGCAGCAGAAGAAGAAGGAAGAGCGCGTCTCCACCCCGGGTCCTGTCCCGGACCGCAGCGGCTCCTCCTCGGCTAAGAAGAAGAAGAAACAGGCCGCTATGCCCTCACCGATCCTCGCGTCCTCCCCGCCGCCGGCTTCTCTCCCCCCGCAGCCGGATCCAGAGGACGCGGTGTGGTCGCAGAAGGTCCGCCGGTCCTACAGCAGGCTCAGCGACAAGTCCTTCTCCAGCCCCGACTCCCGGGACACTTTATTCGGCTTCGAGAAGCTAAAGACCCCCGAGGTGGTCCGGAGACCCGAGCAGTCCAAGGCCGGAGCCTTGGAGGTTTCTGGGTCCATGTCGGGTCTGAACTCTTTCACGTCGCTGCTGGAGGCCGAGGACGGTGGTGCGGCTTTCCCCGAGCCGGACCTGAACATCCCCGGAGTGGCCGTGGTGAAGGAGAAGCGGAGGAGGAGGAAGGTCCAGCAGATCGACTCCACGGAGCTGGACAGCCTGGCTGCGCAGATGAACGCAGAGTTTGAGGAGGCAGAAGAGTTTGAGCTGGTGGTGGAGTAAAAAATAAGGACTAAAAACTGTAAAAGACTGGAGGAACCTCCTCCAGCTCTCTGACAGGCTGGAGGGCACCAAACTCTGGGAGGACTACACAGAAAAACGCGTTTCACACTCAGAACATTCTGTATATTTCCACTTCTTCATGTTGTAAAGTTTGAATCTGTTTGCGTGTTCATTTAGATGCTCTTCATGAGGCTGGTTATGACACTGTGTGGAGGTTTATGTTCATATTGTGGGTTTGTTTTATTATGTGTAGTTATACACATAATGCCAAAAGTTCTTTATAATTTAAACACACAGATTTTCTTTACTGTTAAAGTTCAGTTTGGGATGGAGAGAACACTTTTTTTGTATTTTCAATTGGCTTTAATTGACTTCACCTTTATATGCCGGTTCCAGTTACACATGGAAGCTGTTGTTTGTGAACTTTAACACATATTAGGCAGCAACTGTAGGATCTAAAAGCCTTAAAAATTAGTTTTCTATCAAGAATTTTACCTTTTTTATCTTTATCCAACCTCACTGTTCGTATGATTATACGGAGTGAAACCCAACAGATGTTTACAGTAATTCAGAGGCCTGTAACCAGAATATTTCACATTGAGGTGTCAACTATCAGCATTCTTGAACTGTTTTCCATCTATTTTTATCCTAAACATGTCAATAAATGCTGGATGAATGAAATCACCAGATCTGACGGGACACTTAAACCTTCTTTTTTTTAACTCACATTATTTTGCCAGAGGCCTGAATATGGGGATCTTGTCACAGTTTTCCAGTGACAGTTTTAATAAAGTCAGTTTTAATGGCTCGACGGGAGACATTTATAGCAGTCCGGTTGATTTCGTAAACGCATTTGTTGTAAGATTTCAGTGTTTAGTCCAAGTTTAGAAGCAACGCCTTTAAAAACCTGCTCATGTCACCAACCAGGCATCTTCTCAGGTTTGGTATTCGGTCGCTGGATGTGAGATGTGGATTAAATTCTGTGCTCTGAGGGTCTAACGAGGTGCTAGTCGAGCATGTTGTCTACACAGCAGCAGTCTCTGGTGGCTGTGAAGCAGCAGCAGCAGACTGACTGAGTGGGCAAACTGTTGGTTTAATGATGATGGTGGACGAGCGTTTTCCTCCAGAGTCTCTTAAAGGTGTAACAAGCGGTGAGCGTCTCAGATCGCCTGTCAGGATGAGAGTTAGTGGCTCGGTTGACTTTTAAAACCAGACGCTGATTCATTTGCAGCCGGTGACGTGTGAACAGGTGACGCAGGTTTACTGGGATGAAATGATGTTAAACTAACAGTCAGCTGAACTGTGTTCTCTTCCACCATCATCAGATCACCACATAATTATTCATCTGCTGCCAGAATAACGTTGATAGAGTTTGTGAGACTTTATTGTAGAGCTGCATTCATGTTCGATTATTGCTATTGTGAATCAGTTTGTGCAATTTTTTTTAAAGATAAAACATCTAAATTCTTTGTTTACAGCTTCTGAAATGTGAATATTTTCTGCTTTTATTCTTCCTCTGACGGCAAACGTGAACATCTTTGGGTTGTGGATGAAACAAGACACTCGAGCAGAGCTTTGGAGACACTATTTCACCTTTTTCTGACTTTGTTTACATCAAACAAATGATTAACTGAGAAAACTCAACAGTTTAATCAAATATGAAGGTAATCTTGAGTTCCAGCACTAATCTAACTGTAGGGTTTCCTGTAATGTTCTGTTGTCATCCAGACAGTTTCTTTCAACATTTTTCTGCAAATATTGTAAGTAAATAGTCGACTGGATAGTTGCTGAATCTTCTTTATTTAATCAGATTATTTAGATTTAAGAGATCATTTTTGGCGTTTTATTGATCTGACTGAGTTTAAACGACTTCATATATTTGAGAACTTTAGCTTCTGATGTTAAATGACACGTTCTGCGTGGAAGGAGAAGAGTTTTCTTTGTTTTTTCACATTACAAAGGTACCCACACTATATATTTAGAACTCATCGTTTACAACTAACATGTTCTTATTATGAAGACAAATGAAACGTGTCAAAATATGGAATCATAGAAAATGTAGGCCGGAAAAAAATGGGGGAAAAGTTTAGTTGTATTTGTATACAAGTGGTCCTCATGAGTGTTTTATATTGTCTAGTTTTTAAAAAGCAGAGTCCCTGATTGGTCCTGTGACTCCTGGAGGAGCAGAACAGGATTATTCTTCTTCTTCTTGCAATTAAGGACACGAAGGCGACGACTTCTGAAGCTTCACCTTTAAATGGAGAACAGCATGTTGGAGACACTGCTGCTGTTAATGAGGAGTGTGAGTAAAAATGTTAAAGATACTGGCATCAGGCTCTGAGGATGATCTTTATGTAAAGGTGGAAGAAATATCGTGTCATCTAAAGTTAAAATGAACCATCTGGTGACATGTGAAAGAAAGCAGTAGACTTCATTTATTTGTTGTTTGGCATCCAAACAAACTCATATTTTATCATAAATGTCAATAATAAAAACTAATTGGTCCCTTAAAATGGAAAGAAAAAAGTGATAAATGTTCAATCCAGGCTGGTGTTGTGTCTCCAGAAAGTTCCTATCAGTGTATATACATGGATGGATCCATGGTTCTGGAAAGCTGGACCAGACAAGTTTCCAATGTTTTGCTAATTTGACTTAAAACGTGTCCAAAATTAAACAAAATCAGTCCAAAACCCCTCAAAATCTGCTAAAATCAAATAAAGCTCGTCATTAATGAGTCAAAATTGTCCAAAACCCCTAAAAATTGTCCAAAAATGACAAAAACAAATCATTTTTAGAATGAAAGAAAGTGTAAAATCTTCCAGTTAAGGTGGTGTTGTGTCTCCATAAAGCTCTTGTCAGTGTCTATCTATTGGATGGATCCATGGTTCTACTAGAACCCAGTCTCTGGTCACATCTCACCACCTGTTGAGGCTCTAACATCAGTAGAACCTGATGTGGTGAAGTTGGACCAGACCAGGTTCTGGTTTACATATGTTTGCATTAACAAATCAGGTTCTACTGATGTTAGATTTAATTATGTAAACTATGATCTAATACAGTTAAATAAATGACCAGCAGTAAACTTGTTTTATTATCAGTCCAGAAGTCTAACAAGGTGGCTTCATGTAAACTCACAAGTATTTTTAAAAAATCAATTTACTTTTATTTTTTTGCAGATGTTGCTTGTTTCATTAAATTAGAGTTAATAAAAGGTAAAAGAAAAAAATAATAATTTATATGTTAACTACAGAATGGGCCAAAATTGTAAATTAACTGTTAATCAAAGATTTAAATAATAATACATTATTTTTTTAGTTAATTTACATCAAAAATGTAATTTTTTTCATGTATTTAAATCAAGGAAATATATATATGTATGTATTACCTATTTTTCTCTGGTACTTGAAAGAAAATGTATTTCATATTTTATTTTCATTGTTTTTGTTATTTTTAGAGATTTTTTTTTTTACTCTGTTTTGGTTAATAACATAATATTAGGAAAATCCCATAAAAAAGTGTGAATTTACTTGTTGACTGTAAAAAGACCAAAAACTTTGAATAACGTCCACATCAAAAAAATACGTATATTTTCATAAACGGTAATTTGTTCTTTTCCATCGTGAAACTGTGACATTTTTCACATTTTTATACTTTTATATTTAAATCGTCGTAAAATACCAACATTTTACAGATATAGAATAATTCATTAATATCTAAAATAGTTTGTTTGTGTCATTAAACATTTATGTTTCAGTTAAATGTGAAAATAAAGTTAATATAAATTTTTCTTCTTTTTAATTTAGCCTTTATTTCACCAGGAAAAGGCTCATAATGCATAAAGAACAAGCTTGTATTGGGGACGATGCCCTTCTCTTACATTTAGTTTTATAATAACTAAGCTGTCACTTTTATATATCTTCTTCTATTTAATCTGCATTAAGATTTTGAACCTGCTTGTCGTTTTTTGCCCATTGGATGATTTTTATTTATAGATTCTCTGCATATTTCCCATACTGTTTATTTTGCACATGATAAATATTCCTATGATGCTTGTGTGACATGTTTAAAGTGTCTGTTTGTGATTTTACCGCTACATTAGGTGTGTTTTACGAGACTTTCAGCCGTTTGGGTTGGTGATAAATAAACCTTGAAGCTCTCTGTTTAAATCGGCGGGCTGAGGTCTGACACAAACACCTGACTGTTTACCTGCTCGCATCACCTTCCTGCTGCCGCTGCTGCTGCTGTTTGTCAGTCTGAGCAGCACAAATAATGAGTGTGTGTGTTTGCAGCCAGTAAATCCACAATTTGTTCACGTTTTCTGGCGTGCAGAGCTGCTCCCTCCTCAGGTGCCATTTCATGTTTCTACCCTTCATTCGACATTTTTCAGCCTCTTCTTCTTCTTCTTGTTTTTTTTATATATATATATATATATGTATTGCAGCTCTCTCGGTGGCGGCTCAGCTTCTGTATATTTTTAACCAGATCTCCTCGTCTGCTTGTCATCACCGCTGAAAGCTGCAGACAGACTGACGTGAGGAGGCTCTTATTGATTTACTGCTGCTGCTGCTGCTGAGTCTCTTCATGCTGATTTTTTTGATTTTTTTTTGGGAGGTTTTTCCACTCGTGTGTTTTCCCCTCTGCTTCTTCTTCTTCTTCTTCCTCTCCCCTCCTCCTCCTCCTCACCCTCACCCTCCTTACATTTCACTCTCGGCAGTTGTCGCTGGTTCAGCTTGACTGCTTCGTTAGGGCTCATCATTTGCATTCAGATTAATTATCTAATTACCGACAAATGTCCGGCGGCCACCCCACACTCCGGCTCGTCAGCTCTCAGCCTGTAATTATTTTAATCATTTACTTTCATCTGGAGCGTTCCTGCCATACTCCTGTGTTTAGAGGCCATTCTTAATTACCCTGCCAAGACTCTGTGTTCATGCAGGGAGGGAAGGGGGGAGGCTGGTTCTGGGGGAGGATCTGGGTGAGGAGACCGATGGGGACATGATCCAGAGGCTTTGACAGCACAGAGGAAGCTCCCTGCTCTGCTGGATGCTCTTTCCTCCCATCGCTTTCTTCTCTCTGCCTCCCCCCAACACAACTTCCTCGTCTCTCTCCCCCTTCCTCACCCACACTGTAAAAAACGAGCTGTTAGAAATCAGAATGTGGCAGGAAGGTGACAGCATGTGGAGGACTGTAGCGCTACAACGCTGCTGCAACCACACCAAGAATCATCTGAAACATTTAGTAAAACTGTCAAATATTGTAAAATCATGACGAAAAATTGTGAAAATATAGTTTTTTTTTAACATATTTTTTAGACATGAATATACTTATTTTTTTCTGTTAAATATCAACAAACATCTGTAAAATATTTCTATTTTTAGCTGATTTGAAAATGTTGTAATATTATGAGTAAAGTAATGTATTGCTTTTTTTTTTTTTCCTGTTTTTTTTTTTGGTGTTTGTTTTCTTTTCTGTTCTTGTATTTGTTCTTTTCTTCTTTTCTTTTTTTTTTTGTTTTATTTTTTTTTTATTTTATGTTTTCTTTAACTTAGCAGGTCAGGTCTACTCTAGAACAGTTTACTTTATGATTTTCTTTTCTTTGATGTGGTTTTGTTTTCTTTGATGTTACATCATTTTTCTTTTTTTTTTTTATTTCTTTGTTTTTTTGTTTTGCTGATTTTAACACAGTCCAAAACAACAACAGTAAATTACTACAATACAAATATAGATTTTTAATGTGGACATTATTTACAGTTTGTGCCCGTTTTCATTTGTGTAAATTAACACTTTTTTCTGTGATTTTTCTCGTAGTTATTTGTTGTTGTTGGTATTTATCTGTAATTTAACAAACCGAGGATAATCTATATAATTGATTTAAAGAGATTATTAACCATTTCTTTGAGCCTAACTTTTTAAAGCTAATTATATTTCTGTTTTAATTGCAAATAAACTTTATTTCACAGTTACACATTGTAAAATAATTTTTAAAAAATGTACTATAAAATTAGTATATAATTTTAAAAATTTATAAAATAATATTTATAATAATTAATATACATTTTTAATAACAGTAAAAATTGGTGAAATAATTATTTTTCAGCTGTTTTAAAAACCGTTAAACACTAGTTTTATGGTTAAACTAAAATCATTTTTTTAATATGAACTTGATTTAAATACAGTAAAACAAATTTTATGTCTCAAACTACTTTTTTTGGGAAAATGCAGATATTTGATGTGGACATTTTTTCTAGTTTTGGCCTTTTTAAAAAAATTAATTTTACAAAAATGGGGGGAAAATATTTTTAAAAATTTGCATAATTTTTCAATCATTAAGATACTTTAAAAAAAACAAAAGTAAGTGAAATAATTATATTTTGAGCTGTTTTAAATAGCGTAAAATGAATTTTATTGTCAAACTTTATCCGTTAAAATAACGAATTACTATTTTTTTCCATTTATTGACATAATTTAAATAAAG